CTTTGTTGCACTTTCCACCATGCTTCTTCTTGCATCTATCACACCATCTTGCTTCACCTCCATCTGCTCCTCCAAGCTTTGAGAATTTGCTTTCCTTGTTCGGCCTGAAGATCCTTCAAACTTCCGCTTCTCTCCTACCTTATCTTTTTCTAGACCCTTTTCTCTTATCTGGGCCTCTACGTTCTTAGCTGCCTAACAAGCTGCTTTCAAAGTAGTTGCCATTTTGACCATTGGGCCAAAGTCAATGGGCAGTCCGTTAGCAAACCTATCAATCTTGGAGAGTTCAGTAGGCACCAAGTAGGGGAATAGCTTCATCCTTTCGGTGAATGCGGTGGCATACTCGTCAATACTCATCTTCCCTTTCTTCAGGTTCTGAAACTCATTGTTTAGGTCTATCAGATCTACCTCCGAGCAGTACTGCATTTTCAACTGCTCCAAAAACTCTTCCCACGACATCCTTAAGGCTTCTCCTCGTGGCATCGTATCTGCCAATAGCTTCCACTAGCTCAAGACTCCAGCTTTCAGCTGTCTTACTGCGAAGACAATCTTCTGTTTCTCATTACAGCTGCAGCTCTCAAACACCATCTCCATCTCAGATATCCAATCCATAATCTCAACCGGCTTCGGGCTTCTTGAGAGACTTGGGGGTTTCGCACCCAAGAAATTCTTGTATATCCGCCCATCCTTGTTGTTTCTCCCTTCAGGGCCATCCCTTTGCTCACCTTGAGTCCCTACTTGACTCACTTGGCGGCTGTAGTTCCCTTCCTCTGATTGCTCGGGAACTGGCTCTGTAGGTTCAACATGTACAGTAGGTTCGTCCCTATTCAACATTTGTCTCATTTCTTCCCTTTGTTCAGCCAACATAGCCCGAATCATGGCTTGAACTCCAGCCATGGTGACTGGATCAGGCGCAACTTCTTCTACAACAGGTATTTGCTGAACCACTGGGGGTTGGTTCCTGTTCCCATTTGCGTTTACGTTTCCGCTACGGGTTCTTGCCATCTTGATCTATACACCGAATAAGGTGAATCTAGATCTTAATTTAGGATTGACGTCTTAAATCATCCTTATCACCCCGAAACGTTTATATGCTAGTTCTAATATCGTAGTTAAACGCTTAGAATCCTAAACATATAAGGCTTCCAGATCCGGTCGGCAACAGACCATAGATCCGAACAAATAACAACATATCATGCACAAAGCATTTAGCACATAAAAGCAATTTAGGCATCATTCCTAAAATAAGCTAGTGCTCACACCTGACAATCATCGCTTAGCATTCTAAGTTTAAGTCTAGAAATAAATCCATATTCCTAGTTCGCTTAAACTAATGCTCTGATACCAACTGTGACATCCCCAAAATCACGGCCAGAAAAGACCGATTTTGTTTATGCTTTATAAAAGTTAGAGTACTTTATTTTATAAAAAGGTTGCAGAATTTGTTCCCAGAAAAACACGATAAATACATTATTAAAACATTTTCGAAGAAACGTATTTTTATTCATCTTAAAAAACGATTGGGATGTCATCGTTAATACAGAAACATAAGCATAAACAGAACTTACATTTATTTACACTAGTGATCTACATCTCTTTAAATCTCTCATTGTAAAGTGACTTCATATCAACACCTGTGATATAGATAAACTGAGTGGGTCAGGTTGGGAAACCTGGTGAGTACATAGGGTTTTTCAACCCACAATAATATAATTGTTATGTTTAATCATCAAACAATTAACCCCATTACCCATCCCCGTTATCTTCTTTACTCTTAAGGATTTAACCTAAGAGTCGTCTATCCTGCATTTGTTTATTCCGAAGTCCCTTACTTCCAGGGTTATAGGACTGGCACTAAATCCATAGCTGCTGATGTTAGTTCATAAAGCACTAATTCCAAAGCTGCTATATCCTACTCACTGGGTACTAAATCCATAGCTACCAGCGTTCAACAGGTACTAAGTCCATAGCTACCAATTCCTACAGGTACTAAATCCATAGCTACCAGTGTCTAACTAATAGGTACTAAGTCCATAGCTACCAATTTCTAACAGGTACTAAATCCATAGCTACCAACGTCTAACAGGTACTAAAACAATTTTCCTCGACAAAACCTAGTATCAATACCACTAGGGTTTAGTTTTTAACGTTAACCACGACTAATTAATAGTCTAGCTATTATTACTATTATATAAGCGTTAAATAACACTCAATATAACTCATAATAATAGCCCAATAATTATTTTAAGGTCCTAATAATGTCACTATAATTAAATAAAAGCTATATTAAATATAGTATAGGCATAACTCACTTACAATGGGTTTTTATTAAAAACCGGTCTTCGTTGGAGCACCGTTTCCGAGCCGAAAGCTTTTCTTCTCGGAGCCGTCGGGTGCTCCGGGGCTTTCTTCTCATGATAGGGAGGTTCCGTAGACTTGGGAGGGGTTTAGGGAGGCTAGAGAGAAGTTAGAGAGAGAAAGAGAGGCTTATGGTGTGAAGAAAATATGAGGAGTTCACCCTTGTATTTATAGGAGTTTATAGTAAAGTAGCCTCTAAGCTTCGTCCGTAACTTTCGCATACGAGCTCCGTTTTTGTCTGTCTTTTTACCGTTGAGATTTTATTAATGAGATCTTCAACTTTCGTTTAGACCTCGTTAGCTAATTCTCATTCTATCTCGGATTTACAAAACTGTATCGAATTCGCCGCGCTCGAAAAGTAGGGACTAAGCTTCGTCCATAACTTTCGCATACGAGCTCCATTTTTGTCTGTCTTTTTACCGTTGAGTTCCTATTAATGAGATCTTCAACTCTCATTTAGACCTTGTTGGCTAATTCTCATTCTATTTCGGATTTACAAAACTGTATCGAATTCGTCGCACTCGAAAAGTAGGGACTAAGCTTCGTCCATATCTTTCGCATACGAGCTCTATTATCGACGTTCTTTATATCTACGCGTTGGTATTTACGGGTACTACAACATTTATTTAGATCCCGTCGGCTAAAAATCGACCGATCTAAAATTCAGATTTCGGGCTGTGCACTACTATGCTAAATCTTAGAAAAATCATAACTTCCTCATACGAAGTCAGATTTGGGCGTTCTTTTTACGGATTTTCTCATTTTAACATACTCTACGAATTTGGTTTAGATAACTAAGGCTAAAAAGTCTTCTATCATAAATTCACTTTTTACGCTTCCCGGTGCCGTGCCGGTTTTGCCGTAAAACTTCGACGGGCCATAACTTCTTCGTTATAACTCAGATTTCGGCGTTCTTTATATGTACGGAAACCTTGTGACATATACTATAACTTGGTTAAAATTATTTATTCTAAATAATCTTTTTCCGAAAATTCATTTTCGACCCATATTGCCTCTAAATTGACTAGCCCGGATCTACGGGCGTTACAGATCGACTTCCCAAACTTTTATTGACATTGACAATGGTAAAATTAGAAATCCAGAAAAGTTTTCTCTTCCCATTGGAAAGGGATCGACCATAGTCAACTTGGTTGACCAAATCGTAAAGCGAAAGGCTAAGTCTAAGATAGTCCTGTGTACCATTCCCAAAGAGTCCATATGTTTCTATTGCCAAAGGAAGGGGCATTGGTTGCAAAGTTGCCCTATTTACCTGAAAGATCATAAGGATGGTAAAGTCAAAAATTTTGACTCTACTTCGGGTAAAGTCCACCATCTAACTCTATTAAGTTCCTATTTGAGATTCTTATTACATGATGTGACTAGGTCACATTCTAATGTTTTGTAGAATCGAAGAAAGGAAGCTTAAAGGAAGAGTAAGGTGATTCTAATTGTGAAGATCAGAATTTTGAGCTGCTACTTAAGAGTTATAATAGATCGTTTTGGAATAGAAAACAACATAATTTTCATGTGCTTTTGCATTATAAGGATAAGTTTTTCCACGGGTTTTAAAATAAAAGAAAAGTTTTGATTTTGTTTATTTTAAATTTCCTTACAATGGCATTTGTGAAATTTCTTGTTTATATGATTGCATTGATAGTAATATTGGAAAATGGATTCGATTCTTTCGTTTGTGGTAGTGTCATAATTTACCAAATAAGGAAAGATTCTCATTACCCAAGTTCAATTGGACAAAAACTTGGAATTTATGCAAGTTGTATTGTATGATGAATGAGAATGTTCATCTTTGGAAAATTAAGATTAATTCCTTGTTCACATGTATATGTGAGTCAAGTGAAGGACTAAGGGATCGAGTACACATTCTTTTGCACTGGTCAAGTCCACCACAAAAGATCAATAAGACTATTCGTCATGATTTACGAAAGTTTAGTAAATATGGTTTTACTTACAAGTTTAAGTATAATTCTGAAACATTGGAAAAGTTTCGATGTATGGCATAACGAATGAGAATAATCAAATTAGGCAGAAAGATAAAAGTTTCTTAAAAATCTTAAAAGATGGGAGAGTACTTTAGTATCATGTTTTATGATCATCTTAATGATTATGAAACCATATCACAATTGATCCTCTATGGACATTTTAGTGCATTCCTATGGCTAAGAAGAGGAATCATGAATTTTTGAAATGGTTAAATCAAGAAGATGAGTCATACTTCATTCCAAAACTATTCTTAGAGTCATACTCCAAGATAGTAAATTGAGTGACACATCTTAAATAAGGTTTATAACACTTGTCAAATGTACGAGTTAAATATTTTCTACTCTTGTACATTTGAAATTGGTAAGTTGTGATGTTTTGGATAAAACAAAGACCAACTAAGGGAAATTGTGTGAAGTGTTTCTTGATAAGAATCCACACTATCTCTTGAATATTTGTTAGTTAATGGCTCTTGGCAAGAGAGTCTTATATGCCAAGAGGAAAGTGGGAGTCTAAAAGATCCTAAAAGAGTTTAAATAGCTAATCAAGAATAAAACCCGTAGTGTTCAACAAAACTAGCAAGTTTGTTACATTCCAGCTATTGAATTAAAAAACAAAGAAGTTCACTCAGAGGCATTTTGCCCAAAGTTATGATATTACCCACTTCAGGTACTTTCTATGAGGTTTCAAATGCTCAAGTGATTCATATGTTCAACGGGATGGGACATCAGCCTACCCTTACTGTTATATGCTACTTTAAGAAGTCAAGTCTTCCATGTATATTGAGTTTCTTGTTTGGAATCATTCTAAGGTGCTTGACAGGGAGAAGCTTTGGGCTTGGCAAGGCTAAGCTTGAAGTAAACTCAGTCATGGCAAGATTGTACTATGGTTTGAATGTGGATTATGCTTCTAATCTATGGGAAGAGTTTGGAACTTCGATCTCTCACATGATGCTAGCAACTGGTGTGTCGAGTGCTCAATTTTGGGGATTAATTCTTAAGGAGATATATACTTAGGAGGATATTATGTTTCCTTCTGGCGTAGGCACTACAAAATTTCCAACGATGGCTACTCCACGAGTTTCAGTGGATGATGTTAATGTTTTTCCCTATGTTGCTCGCGTTCCCAATTCGATGCTCAAACTTGTGGGTCCCAAAAATCAGTTGTTGGTACAATACTTAACCTCTATTGATTTTACTAATCCAACTGGGGATCTTCCACAAAAGGTTGTAGAAGAAACATCTAAAGGCTCGAAGGCTCCAAAGAAGAAGAAACAAGTTGAAAAGAAACAAGTGGTGGATGAACAGCAATTTAAAGAAATTATTCCCATGAAAACTGGGGTTATTAAATGAATGAAGAAACCAGAAAAGAGGCCTTCTAAATCTCCAATCAAGACAACTATTCTAGAACATGTTTTCGAAAGCATTAAGCCCACTGAAGTCGAAACCTCAAAATCTATTTCTTCAAATGGTGGTCCAAAGAGGGTTAAAACGGTACAATTTACTAGGAAAGGATTTCTTTTTCAAGAAGTTTCAATTCCTGGATCTCCATCATCGAAGAAATGTAGATCTTTTAAGGTTGCACAAGAAATAAAGAAGTGAAAGCATGTTCAAGTTCAAGTTCCTCTTGAGAACGTGATAGCCGATACCGAGCATGACAATGAAAGTTACAGGTCAGATATTCGAATCGAGGATTTTTATATTGGTTCACCGCGAAAGGATTCGTCTGTCAAGTCGACTTTTGAGGAGAAAAGGACTTCTTGTTTCACTTTAAAACTATCTAATATGAATACAAACATCAATTCGGGTAATTCACAACAAACAAATATCCTTGAGAAGGCATTAGTCAAACCATCCGTGGTTTCGAATACTGAGTCTGGTAAAGAGGAGGTTATAACTCTAGAATCATTGTGGACTTATCTAATAAGGGTACAAATATCAATATAGATGAAGGGATACTCAATAATGAATCTATTGTCACAACTACAGTCGAAACTTCATCAACTTTACCACTACCATCATTACCCATAGGTTCCTACTTCAGTTCCGGTATTGACTATATCACCAACATTATTTGGTTTCATGCAAGAACTTATAGCCACTCTCTTTTCATCTCAATCCATTGAAATGTCACAACACAAAAATGAATATGATGATGGCGATGTCATGGTTTCATTTATAGATCTTTAATTCAACCCTAAAGAAGAAAATATTCCTGATGAACTCATCATGTCAGGGAAGGAGTTAAATATCCTCAATTCCAAAATTAATTCTCTTTTTCAAGTCACATAAGATACTGGAGGAAAGAACTATGTGACTGGAGCCAAAACGGACTACTTGTTGAAAGCTCAAGAATCTCGTGTGTGAAACTTGATTAAGGGAATTAAGAAGAAACAAGCAGAAAGACTTGCTTTTCATTCCAAGAGCTTTAACTATGAAATTCTAAAACTTCATGATGACGCTAAGGTACAACATACACTTTTCATGGAAAAGGTCAATGAAACGAAGGAGTATCTTGTTGTTAAGGTTGCTGAGATAAAATCCTTGATAATAGAAGAATCGAAAAAGATGGATGAAAATTACAAAGAGTTACATGGAAAAGTTGATGTTCTTGCTGGTGCAATTACTTGATTGGTTGAGTTCAATATTAAGTACACAAAATAGTTTGAATCCAAGTCAGAGAAGGATACAATGGTGTTTAAAAAGTTGTAGGAATTCCTGTCTGGTATGAAGGAAGCTTTGTCAAAGGTTAATCTTTCAAAACAATCAACCATCTCTCCAGAAGATCTCTCACAAATGGTTTCGAACATCGAGTCAAACAGTAAAACTAAGCTCACTCCAATACTTGATTAGGTACTTTGTTTACCAACCAATGCTCTATATGTTGCGCAAATCTCACAATGGGTAGAAAGAGGAGTTGGATGAGCTAGATCTTCAAAAGATTTTGATAATGAGAAAGGGGTAGTTGTTGGGAAAGTAATTTCAACTCAAATTCCAACTTCAATTTCCATGAAGCCTATGAAGGTGTTTGATGCGTGGAAAACAAATTAGTTTTAATCCTACTTTTTATTAATGAGTTAAGCACACAAAGGTAGTGAACCTATCTTTTAGTGGTATAGTTGGATAAGTAGGGTATCGAACTCAGGGAACGGAAATTAATCTAATCACTACTAGAAAACAGACCTTTAATGACGCGCGAACAATGACACACGCAGATTTACGATACGCATTTTGTGCATGTCCTAGAAATAATGTCGCGTTTTCAAAATTAAAAGGATAGAGCATACACATTTATGCGTGCCCTAAAATTAAGTGTCCAACAAAAAAAATTACAAACACAGAGGTTACTTAAATTAAATGGGCATCATGTATAAATGTCGTTTTATAAAATTTTAATATGCGCCTAGGGGAAATCAAATCCCCCAAATATTTGATGTACCGCGCTTCCTTACCTCTGCACTTTGTCCTCTACATCTTCACCCACCCACTTTCTCCTCTCGATCGTTGGCTCCTCAAGCGATGAGTCCTCTCTGCCCGCCGCCGTTAGCCATCGCCTCACTGTGAAACCACAAACGGCCGAATCTTCATCAAAACCTTACAATTCATCTCCTCTATACTATTTTGTCTACATCTTCTTCCTCGATGCCATAGCCACAATCACCTACAACACCTACCATGGCTTCTATGGAAGACCAGTCAAGTTTTTCCCCACCATGAAATCCCTAATCTTCTCCTTCTTCCCACTCTTGTAGACCACAATCGTTGCTCAACTCATCCTATCTCTCATCTCGCTTCCGTTCTCCTGTTATTCTTGGTAATCATCAAGATTGGGGAAAACCTAGGGTTTGTAATTGAATACAACTCGAATTACTTTATCAGGTCATTCATTTTGTTACCACTCAAGATTAGGGAAACCTAGGGTTTGTAATTAAAGATGTCTTCTTTGTCTCTAGTTACTATATTCGTAGATGGGTATATAGTTTCATAAGTGAGTCTTCCTACTAGTGATACACCTGTTAAGGTGAAGCAGTAAAATGAAGCTTGTGATGACTCCAAAGATGCTTATGCCTCAGAAGTGACATTTATCGCTGGTCGAGATCGTCTTCTAAAGGTATGGTTACATTAATCCTTTTTATTTTAAAACTACATATTTTGTTCGAGTCACATTCCCACATATTTGATAACACTTGAATGGAGTTTTAGCACTTTGATTGACCTATTTGGGTAGAAGGTTCCAAGTATCTACGATTTTGAAACATGTGATTTTGATTGAATTGCAGGTTCCCACAGAAAACATTAAAAATTTCTCCATCATTGCACATATTGATCATAGAAAATCGACATTAGCTGATAAATTGCTTCAAGTGACGGATACAGTGCAATCACGTGATATGAGGGAGCAGTTTCTGGTACCGAGTATAAATAAAAGCCTACAATTTTATGGTTTATATATTCCATAGAACAAAAAATATGAAGTATTTATTCAATTCATTTGAGAGTATATAATGCAAGATTCTTATTTTAGGTTAATAGAATTATGATTTATCTTATAGATAGAACAATAATAACAATAGATTATTCGATATTAAGTAGTATAGGAAACTGTTACTCTATTACCACCAAGCACCAAGGCTTTGGCCACTTTCTGCAATATATACATGCTTAGGCTTTTATATTCCTAAATTCTACTCTTTTACCTGTTGTTGATCATATTGAATGATAATTTTACAAGAATGTTGCTATCAACTTCTCAGGTAACTTGTCTGATGGATTCAAATGTTTGATATGAGTTTTTGGATCTGAAGTTTAAATCCAGATTGTTATTCAATGGTCACCTATAACATTGAATTAGTTTTTCTATAGGTTTAATGGTTCTTCTCCAAAAGGGGTCACAAACCTTGTGTATGTAGGCAATGAGCAGAAAAGATGTCAAAAACCAGCTGTGGTTATAACCTCATCGAGCACTCCAGTTTCAAATATTTTATCTACTGTAAGTCTATAAAAAATCATAATTTTTTACCCTTTTCCATTTTTTATAAAAAGGTGGATAGTTTACACTTTTACAGGTAGTGGAATCTTCTTAAGATTTTTTACCTCTTCTATTACTCACAAGGGATCGCCCCCCTGAGCTTTTGGAAAGTGGAGCCAACCAAGCAATTAACCAAGTATGTTCGTTAATAATTAATGATTATTATTTATTAGTTTTGTTTCTAAATATTCATTTTTAAACATTTTTTTTTCTAAATTAAGATTTCCTCAATTGAATCATCCTTATTTTATGTCCTCTTAGTATTTATGCTTTTGTTTTGCAACTTACAGTCTAAAACATCATAGTGCAAGTTCAGTTCCAGAACAACCACCTGAAACTTACCTATCTGGAAGAAATCCATTGGTATTGGTTTTCAATCTTTTTATATTGGTTTTGTCTTTTCAGCTTATATATCTAGAAAGGAACACATAGTACTTTTGAACAGCAAGAATGGCAGCTAAAATTGTTGATCTTTGAAGGTATAATGTCCTTATTTAGACAACAATTAATGTGAAAAAAGAAAGAATTCAATAATCAAATACTTTTTTGATGATTTTTTTTTTATGTTATCTTTGATCAGCATGGGGTAAAAGCAAAATTCCAAAATGAAGGAACAAAAAGTTGATCAACGTTTTGGCTTGGATTTGGAGGGAACCAGAGTTTCACTAGCACCAAACTATCACTGGAGACTTCTTGATTTCCTCACTTGTTTGCATTCTCGCTCATTAAAGGTTTCAATTTCACAAACATATAATGTCACACCCCAAAACCAAGAACGGCGGAAATGTTCTAGGGCGGAGGACGTCATGTAATGTATCACAACACAGTAAATGTAAATAAGCAAACAACATCATCCATTGCATTAAATATATAATTTTAATATAAGCGTGTTCTGTACAGTATAGACACCAAAAATAATGTATATCAAAATAATAAGATGAGTCTTGAATGCGCTCCATCTTCTCAAAAGCTGGCCTCAGTACCTGTCTACTGATGACCTGAGAATACAAGTTATTTTGAAAGAGTTTATCAGCATTAAGCTGGTGAGTTCATAAGTATTTTAGTGTCAATGTTTGTTGTCAAAACGTTTGAACCTGTCTCAATGTATAAGTTTGTAAAAATGTAAGTAAGTGTTTGAAAGTGTTTGTAAAAGTTTGAATCTCTCAGAAAAACCTATATTTTCTATTAAAGTAACCTTCTACCAAGGCTTAACTGTTCTGTATGTTCGTTTGATGTAAAAGTGTGTAATTTCCCAAGTGTAACTATCATTTAACAAAATATAGTTTGTACATTAACATTTAAGTGAGGTTATCACTAAAATATGTAATGGGTAAATCATTGTAGTACTGTAGTTTTGTATTATAAGAACTACTGCTGTACTAACTACCTTAAACCGGATTTATATTAAGGCATTATGTGATAAATTGCACCATACTATCGACTAGTAACAACGACATAATGAATGGTCGTAATAACGGAATGACGTTTGGCACCCGCAGACCTGCAGGTCCGGCTGTAGCTAGCAGCAAGGTGTAGGATTGTCAATCCAGTATAGATCTATACGCAAACTCACGCTCTCCCTCCAAGAGAATTCTGGCTACAACTCGAGCCATGACATTTAAGTCATGCTCCGATTTAAATCACAATAATTAAAGTATTCATGTATATGTAATGTTTCTCGTTCTAGTATAGTTGTATATGTATTGTTTCTAGCATCGTTGTATATGTATTGTTTCTAGTATAGTTGTATATGTATTGTTTCTAGCATCGTTGCATATGTATTGTTTCTAGTATAGTTGTATATGTATTGTTTCTAGTCTAGCTGTATATGTATCGTTTCTAGTATAGTTGTATATGTATCGTTTCTAGTATAGTTGTATATGTATTGTTTCTAGTATAGATGTATATGTATTGTATTACCCCGATGGTAACTAGCTATTGATGTACTGGGTAAATATGAATATGGAAGTACTTTTTTATGTCTATACATGTATATATGATATATAACTAATATGGAAACGACCCTCGGATGGTCACCCGAAATCCCACCAGACCACATCTCAGTGCGCGAAAAGGAAATAGGGCGGATGGCCTTCCTAAGCCCTTTAAACATTACTTATATATCTATACATATATGGGCATGCAATTTATAAGAAGTAAAACAAAGTTTAATAAAAGCATTTGATAAGTAAAAGAGTTTGTAAAACATTTTGAAGTAAAACAGTTTGATAAACAGTTTGAACAGTGATAAAATCATTGGTTTTCTAGTTATTAATCACATGTGATTAATGCAATCACATGTGATTGATGCAATAACTAATAGTATTTAACTTGTATCCCCCCCCATAAAGTATTTAAAACATTTAAAACATTTCAAAGGTTGATTAAAGGGGTATGAACTCACTTGTGGTGAGTAGATTGGATTGATGTATCGGGTACCGTGCTAGGTGGCAAACGGAGACTTGTTCACACGTTCGAGCCTAGTTATCATATAATGAGCATATATATAACTAATTAGCCAAATAATAACTTAACAAAGTAAGTTAAGACACTTAGGAACATGTATACACTTTATATAAGTGTTATAGGTCCTAATGGTTGC